TGTGGCTGATTGGAGTTTGTCAATTACAAATGTCTGGGTCAGTGCTTGTGGCACGGGAAAGCGCAAGCTTCATTTGTGAATACGCGTTTTTTTGGGGGGGGTTGTGTGCGCCTCTAGTAACTAGACTCTAGTATCCCCTGTGACTGATCACGGCGACAACCTCAGCGAAAGCTTGGGTAGCGACACAGTGTTGCCTTGTTTTTACTTCCGCGACCTCCCGCGCAGCGCGTGTTTCTATTTGCAACTCCATCACAAGGAAGCTGTCGAGCAGTCAAGCAGTTTCTGTGTGCGCAGGATCCCAACTCAGGTGTCTTCACCCCCGAATGTTCGAATCGAAGCTGCGCACCTGAGGTTTCTACCTAGCTCCTAGCTTCAATCAGGCAATGGCCCTTACGGGCGTTTCTCTGCTGCACTTACAGCATGCAAGGCCTGAATGTCAGACATTTGTTCTCTGATGCTGTGGATGGACAAAATCCGTGCGCACCACGTCGAAACCATGGTTGAAACCAGAGTTTCTGAACGGTGCGAACTGGATTTCGCAGCCATCCCCAGTGGGATCGTGACTTGCCATCCGAAGCCAAGGTGAAGTTTCGACACTATTTCCTGGGCAGTGCTATGGGTCTTGTGCCCATGACAGCACTGGCCACATTACTGCAACCTGACAGCAGTCAGAAGTTGCAGCCTTCGCATAGGTTTTACGAGCTTTGCCTCTCACTCCACCCCCAACACCCAGTGGATCCATGTACCTGTATAGTAGGCAACCAAGGGCTTGCCACCCATTGAAAACCAAAAGGAAAATAGCAAAGGCTTACCTGCTATCTAGGTTTGTCTGGCATCCACTGGCTAAGCCTCGAGTGAGCCAAAGAAATTCTATTCAGGGGGGGGTCTTTTTGCCACCTTTTGTGATCAAATTGGCGACCCCCTCCAAAAGGAATCCTTCACTACAAGGGGGTCGATCATGTTTCCACCAAAGGTGGCAACAAGACCCCCCTGATTCTATTCTTTGGTGCATTTTGCTTGGCTGTTAGGACTTTAACTTTTTGCCAACTAATGGGTTTTCCACTAAACCACTAAAAGTTAGTCACTCTTAGCAGGGCTTCGCAGATTTCGCCACCGAGTATTAGCCAAAGAAATTCCTTTCGGCACGCGCTCGCTTCGTAGGATGCAGAGTTTCATGGACCACGGCTGGCTCTGAGTCCGCGGGATTCGGCGCGAGATGGCGAGAGATAGCGGGCGTGGACGCGTCGAGTCGTGCACGCTGGGTGTCCTTTCGAACGCTTAGCTTGGGTTAGAAATGGATTGCACAGGTTTAGATTTTTAGATGGGTTTTGTCGCCCATTTACCAGAGAAAATAAGAAAAACGACATCTGGTTTTTCCAAAGGTAACCTATGTGCAAGCCGCAGACATTAGAGCTTCTCGGCAAAAGCAGAAGAGTTGTGGAAGGAACAAAAATGAAGTGCTTTTGGAGATGCAACTTGGAAATGCACTGGTTGTTGGCTCATCGCACTTCTGGAACTCTGCAGTACAATTGTCTACACGGCCAAAATGCTCCTGGCCAGAGTCCATGGACTTAAATATCACGAGCCCAAACCGACATGGGCTTTTACTGCCAGTATTTCAGGGAAACCAACTAGCAGGGATACAGGGAAAACCAGGGATACGGGAGGATTCCCCTAAATGCACCTTGACTAACTTTGATATGGGAAATGGCGCCAAGGGAATCCCCCCATATCCCCGCTCCCTCCGTATCCCGCTTGTTTGTTTGTCCAAATTATTCAAGATCGCACGTTGCAGCAATTGCAAGTGAGAACTGATGCTTTGGACCTGCGTCCTCAGTCCTGAAGCCGAGAGTCATGGAAGCATCTTCGATATGCCTCTTATCGATGGGTCAATGGGAACTCAGCAGGAAAAGCCCGTGCCAAGCGCGAGAAGCCGAGCGGCTGAAGACCAGCATCCGAAGAGCCTTCGTCAAACATGTCTTAGCCTGACTGAAGAGGCGTATGATACTCCGGAGGGTTGATTCATGGTTTCCCATGGTTTCACTGTGCTTGGCGAGTTTTTCCTTTTTTTTTTGGGGGGAGGGGGGTTTTCTTGGGTTCTGGGCGTTTGTAAGTTTGGGGGCTGCAAAATGTCAAGGTTTGTGAAGCTTTTCCTTGTTTGTCTCCCCGGAAAAAAGGAGGGGGTTGCGCAACTTGAGCCGTACTTCGTGGAATGGGTGTGAACTTGTTATTGGGGGTTGATCAGTTGATCACTGGCCCAGGCACACCAGACTTGTCAAAAATCACGAGGCAATGGCAGACATCCTCGTCCGAGCGTGATTGAACAATACACGTTCTTTCATTGCAGCTCAGCACCAAGTATAAGGGGCAGGTTTTTAGTGGTTTTTATTGACCAACCTTTAAGAAAGGCCAGACCCAAATACAGCTTCAGCCTTTCTTGTCTTGTTTGAGGTAACTCTTCCGGCAGCCGAGAGGTTTGTGAGACACTACGAGAAATCTTTCAACCGCCTGTTTCTCTCGGATGCTGGAGTCGGGAGCATCACAAGAGATGAAGGCTCCCAAACCTCACCAGGTGTACCAAGAAAAGTTGCCATGCTCGCCGCTTAGTTTGTATTTTGCTGAATGCTCGCTCTTTAACAAACCCAGATGGGCTTGTCTCAAAATGGTTGGATTCCATTTGGTATCTGTTGGTTCCATTCAAAATCATCCCAAAAAGAATACCCCCAGAAAAAGACACCCCCAGGTCTATCGCATGGTGTGCACTCTTGATTTGTGTGTGTCTTTTCACAGTTTCTTTTTTAAATAACCGGTTTAACAAACCAAAAGGACACCCGCAACTTTTTGGGGGTCCCTGCCACTTCTTGAGTTCCTGGACTCCAACTTTTTTTGGTCTGGACCATTTTAGTTTTAATATCAAGTTTTGGAGCTTCTTTTGGCCAATCCTCTCGATCGGAAGTGAGAAAAGAAAGTCGAGCCACCCATTTGTTTCAAGCCTTGACTGCCATTGGGATGGATCTTTAGACTTTGGCTTTTTGGGAAATTAAGGTGTTTTCCATTACACCCCCCCAAAAAGTTAAACTTGTTGCAGGTGGTCAAGAGCAACCAAGAAGCCTTAAAGCAGCCAGGAAGAGTACAACCAGCTGAGCCTCGTCATCGACGCCCTGGCTGGCACCGGTCGTGGTGGTCAAGCCCCGCCAGTCATGGCGCAGCTCGACGGAAATTGTTTGGCGAGGTGCCACGGTCAAAGGATGAGTTCCTTTGCTTTGGGTTAACAGGATGATCATCCTGGTAGTAAGGTTTCTAGGGGTTGATTCCGATTCCATTATGTTCAACCGTTCTTTCCAAAAACCGGATCCGTTTTCCCTCGGTTTCCGGAGGTTTTCTAGAAAGGATCCCTGGAAAGAATGGGGAAGGTACCCCTAGAAGGTTCCTCAACCCGATTGAATGATTCCTACTAGGGGAACCATGACCATAGACCATAGGAGGAGCTTTCACCGTGGCGCATATGTCTCTTGTTTTGAGGGTAACTTTTCAGGTCGGTTTTAGAGGGGCGCCAAAGGCAACAACACCATTTGTTGTTCGTAACCCTATTTTTATGACACAGGAATGAAAGGATGTGTGGTCGGTTCCAGAGGGGATCAACATAGACTCCACAAACCAGGGTGTTTGGATGTTTGGATGTCTTTGTTGAGGGTACCCCTCAAGGGTCATTTCGCCATTCCAGGCTGACCGCCACCTGCAAGTCGGAGGTTCGTGAGGACGTGGTGAGGCGCGCGGATGCGCGTGTAGTGCATGTGGCGCATGCGTTGAGGCGTTGCATGCCTGTGGATTCGGAAAGGATAGAAACAAGACATGGGTGGCTCGTCTTTTTTAGAATAATTACCATTTTCTTGTTGTGGCGTAGACAACCACAAGGACAACTACCATTTTCCACATTGTTGAGCGTTGCGTATCACGATTTCAAGGATGGACACGGGACATGTGAACAGCGCCAAAACCGACAGCAGGCTACGTAGTGACCCTGCATGTGTGAATGAGTTCAAGTTGATCAAAGCGCTGCATGATGCCCAAATTCTGTAGACTGTGGCAGGCACTGCCTTGCTCACCTTTTTTTTGGAAGCCATTATTTTACCATGATCAAAGTCACCCCCACAAAGTAGGTACAAGGGAACAACCGAATCCATTTTCCGACTGTAACCCGAAAAAACAGAACAAAAAGAACGACCGATTGCTGGCAAGCTGGCAGAATCGATTCGGGTAGATGAAGGTTAGTACGGGAGAAGCAGGGTGCTTGGTTAATCAGCCTGGTTATATCCCACTTACCATGCTCATAAGTCTCCTAAGTGGGTAGTAACCAGGCTTACAAACCACTTGCCTGACGTACCCGATCGCCCCTTTAGGTGCCTTCGCCCTTTTTTCCTTCTTGAAACATGGTTGTGCGTAGACTATGTTAATACCGGGTTTTGAATATGACTCACCTGTTGCCTGGGCTTGACGTGCCTACATGTTTAATTTCTTCCTGCAAATACCAACAAACCATGGCAACTGCGGTAATTCATGGCCAATTATAGTTTCAGCTACTAAGAAACCATTACAGTTTCAACGTTGGTAACTCATGAACCGTGGTGAAACCCTGCGTGGATTTCGGGAGAAGTCCATCCACAGTAAGATTGAGCCATTGGGGACCTTTTGGGAAAAGTAGATGGGCTTTCCTGGAACATCATGCCCACCATACCCATCATGCCGTCATTCCCATAGGTTCTAAACCCATCATACCCATCTGTCGGTGGGTCAAACCAATGGTACCATTTTGGGGTAGGTGCATCACCGATTTTAGTCTATTTTAGTTGGGATTGGTATGGGGGTACGATTTGGATTTTGACCCATGGCCATCTACTTCTGATTGCTTCACCTTTTCGCCCCGCCGATTCTTGTATCGACGGAGTCAGGTCCTTGGGCTTGCAGGGCGCCGAGCAGGTCCTGGGCTCGATGAATCGGCCGCAGCTCGGCTCCCGAAAGCTGGCGCCCGGATGGCCGCTTCCCGTTGCCAAAATGGCCCCTTGGTAAATGCAACCAAAGACTAAAACCGGCGAAACCCTAGCTCCCTAATTTTGAGCCACACCCAAATGGGTGCATACAACCTAAAGGCTGTTTACCTAAGGATTGTTCAAACAACCACTACAACTCAATGGTTGGCTTGATACAACCTATGGCAGGGTCCTTCTTTTTGACTGTAGGTAGGCTTAAACCCAGGGGTTGTTGATCCCTACCTATAGACCCAAAAACCGAAGAAAACGTAGACCCCCCCAAAAAAACGGGTTTTTCAGGAAAAAGTCGGGTTTTCCAAAACCACTAAGATCAGCCGCATTCCACAACACGTGCCAAGCACCTTAAAAACATACCTCTTCCCAGATCCCTCGCGCTTCTTTCACTTCAGGTACCCCTCATCCCTCCAATGCTTGTAGCATGCTTGAAGGTTCCTTTGCACGACCCGCTTGATTGCCTGCCCAACTCCAGTTCTGCGGCTCAGCCGGCTGACCCGGCCAACGTAGTCTTCTGATATTTGAACTGAGTGGCATAGGGGATTGATGCAGAATTTTGCGGCACGAATTTGCGATTGCTTCTTCAAGTCGTGGAAAACGTGGTGAATTCCATGCCCCTTAGGCATGTGCGGGAATAAAGGTTGACGATGCTCTCGCAAGGACATGGTAGCAAGACGCGCGTAGCCTGCCAAAAAAGCCAGCCCGCTCTCCGCGATTTCTGCCGCTTCAGCACAAGGGATCCAAACATCTGCTGAATACAGCCTGCGCAAAGCTGACTGTATGTGAGCGTTCGTCTCCTGACAAACACGAAGCAAGGTGCCCTGCGCATAGTTTTGACTCAAAGCAAAGTCCTCAAAGAATTCGCATAGAGAAGTTGTCACGCGCCCTTTGGACCACATGCCGTTAGGGAAATGCGAAGTATCGGGCCACCCGATGTTCATGCGCGTGATGGCATTCAGAAAAGGCGGCCTCCGATTTGACCACGCCCATCCCAAGTAAATCTCAGAAAGTTGCTCAAATCGCTCGTCAATCGCGCCAGCACTCATGGTTTGACTCAAGAGAGCCAGGAACCCAGCCGTGAAGCATTTTCCAATCCCCAGATGGAAGCAATGGAAAAGGTCAAAAGTGTAAAATGCAGGCTCCTCCCCCTCGATGTACGGAATCTTGTTCAAGGATGGTGTTTGCGCGAAAGGGCTTTCTTCAAACATGGTCGATTCCCAAGCAGGAGTATTGCTCTGATAGTTCTCGAAGGGAACACCAATTTGGCCAGCGCGGCACAGATGGCAGAGCCCACGTGGCCGAGAGTCCTTGCCACGCGCTCGTTTTTCGCAATTGCTGTAACTGCGCGAAAAAGATCCAGCCTTCACAAGCCACGCCCAGTCCCCAGTGCACTGCAAGCATGCTGCCCAGTAGGTCACGCCATTGATGCAAATGCCTTGCTCAAGCATGCGAACCGCGTCCGTGGCAATAAATGCTAAAATATCCTTGAGAGCGGCCTCGTCCCTGATCATCTTGGGTAGCACTGAAGTCAAAAGCCGATGGCAAAAGGTGGATCCGCCATAATTTAAGCGCATGCTTAGGAAAGGACGCTTCTTGCGGTTCTTGTTCGCTTGAGCTGTGCCTAGCCCCAAATAAGAAAGCCAGGAGAGCACGAGGAAGCCGCACCTCTTACGTCCACGCCCTTCGTCCCCGTGTAATAAAAGGGGAGCGCACCTTGAAAGGTCTAGCTTGTTCTGGTCCGCAAGAGTAAATACTCGATGCGCTGGTTTCAAATTTCTGTACCGCGCCCAGAATTCACGCAAAATTGCTTGTTCGCGCAAGGGGTCGGGCTGTTTGAGTCCGATGAGGATGTGCCAGCAATTGTGGGTGACCATGAACTCAAGCCAACTGCGCAAGCTCAGTACATCTATATCGCCTCCGTAGATCACACCAGCGGCTTTGGGCAAAATTGTCACTTTGATAGGTAGGGCCAGTGCAAACTTTTTGGCAATCACCGTGTGAGCATCTCTCTCAGAGTTGTTTTCTTTGCAACGGGACAATTCAGCGAGGCCCGCAGACCCCGAAGCAGCTTCCTCCCCAATATCCGCGACAACAGCCTTTGCTGTGCGGATTGCAGATCGGTAGGATGTAGCCTCAGCGGCCGAGGGTGATTCAAGGTCATGTCTTTCGTTGCGCGTTGGCAAGCAAAGTCAGGCAATGCAAGTGTTGCGTGCGGGTTTGTATATGATGCAGGCTGCTTATGACACAGCCGGCTAATCACATGCAAGCAAGCAAAGGCTCTTGACGCTTCTTTTTCCCCAACATGCTACAATTTGCAGCCTGAATTGTATAGCACCACCCATTTCCACGCCAGTCCAGTCGACACACCAGGGTTCAACTTAAGGTTTTCTTGCTGAGGTATCCAGCTGACGGGGCTCCTGAAAACTTACAAGGGTTTCCGCTCCTGGGCTCAATAGGGACTGGCAGTCTTAGGTGGGTACCGAAAAGATCTGTACACAACATAGCACATGTAAGCTCCCTCCAAGCCATTTGTGGGAACTGTGTCTCCGCCAGCTCTGATATTTCGGCAGCCAGGCTTACCTCAGGAAAACACAGCCGCTTTCACCGTTGCCCGTTGTGGCTCATGGCGTGCGCTCGCAAAAACACCAAAACCCAAAATGAAACATGCGAATACAGACGAGACACTCTGGTACTTCTCAATTAAAGCAGCTTCCAGCATTGCCGGTGCAAAGGGCTCTCCAGAAACGTATAAAACCTCCATGTTTGACCACTTGTCACGTGACCATGAATAGCCGTACAGCTTGTTTTCCCACCGCCAAACTGGATTGTGAGTGAAGCCCACTTTGAATATCATCGGGGCATGTTTGGAAAACAGGGTCTCAATCGTTCTCACAGCATGCCGCAAAACCACCCCAGACAAGGCATCAGCGGGAGGTAAGGTAAATCTGATGCAGGGCCATGCATCCGCTTGCTCCAAGATGGCCTGCAAACTGGGCTGCGAGCTCAATTCAGGCTTCAGCTTCTGCGCAAACTTCGGCTGAGGGAATTCCATGTCATCGTTGGCTTTGGGTTTCTTGTTCTCGTGATGGGGCACCAGAGCAGTTTTCCAAGCATACGGCCCTTCGGATTCCTGACTTGAAAGAAAGCTACGTGAAAGAGCTATATATGTATGAGGGAACCGCATATATTTGTTGTGTATGTTCGGAATGAACCATTTTGTACGGGTTGCAGGCTCGATTGACACACGCGCGTGCAAAGGAAAATGGGCCCCCAAAAGGCGCCGAGTTTCTGACCGATGGCAACTCAGCAGATCAATCAGCTCTTCTTCAACTGTTTCCTCACAGTCATGGCGGCGCATGCTTTTTTTGGGATGTCCCGTGCACAATCTTTCTTTAAGCTGGTGTTTGTGTGCAGACGAAACTCAAATCCGCAACCCTTCGCTCGGTAAAAGTTCCAGGGATCTGCATTGATCGGCTTGCATTTTCACCCATGGCTTGTTGTGCTCTTCATGCATGGTTTCAAATGTTGAACTGTTCCCCGAAACTGCTGCGGGATTCGATCCAAAGAGGCAGCCACCATGAAGGAACATTGCAGTGAGGGTTGGCATCTCAGGCCGCAACTCCTTCGCCGATCTCACCAGCGATGTTCCGCAGAGCGTGCCCGGCACCTGGCACACAGAGAGCGCACAGGACCTTCCCCAAAATGGTTTCCATATGTTGAAGTGTCCAGTGCAAGAGTTGGTCATCACTCAAAATCGGGAGCACGGGCTTTTTTTGCATTTCCGTCAAAGCCATCCCCCTGGCAAACATTGAGTCGGAAATATGGGACATTCGTGCTGTCACCTCACACCAAGTTTGCAAGCATTTCAAGATATCTACTTTGCAGTGCCAGTTGCAGCGACAGCCCGGCAAGTCCCAATCAAGCTACATCACATCATCCGCGTACTCTAAATGTGGCACCCTGCGGGTTCCAGAAGCAATGCATGTATATATGAGCATAGGCTTCCCGCAGAGCAAAAACCATGCAGTTCATTTTGGACACGCCCTCTTCACCTTTTTGGTGGCAAGCGCGGGTGATGTTTCAGACACCTCAGGCTTTGCCCTTTTCTCCCGCTTATTCTTGCCCTCTGCATCGGGGGCATCATCGCGTTTTTCGTAGCGCTTCTCGGACCTATTTCGACCGAGGCGTGTGTTGTCGACACATCGGATTAAATGAGGCTGCCACCGAACTTTGGTTTCCAGGGCCACCAGGGAAGAACACCTCATTGCATGTAGACCGACAAGTCACGGCTGGCACACAAGATGAATGCATGCGTGTTGGAGCAATTTAAATCTGACTAAAGGACGTGTACGTTGCCTTTCGCATGGCAGCATTTGCATCTTTCACGAACCTGAGACAGATTTGTGTCCGATCGAGTCACGCGGCACTTATTTGTGCACCTGCCCAACTAAGTTTCCCTCCAAGAAACGATCCTTCATAGTTGCTGACTTCTCCTTCTGCGAGCACAGCGTGAAGCGCGTCGTACTCCGTGTCGAGCTTTTTCAACCCGTCCAAGAGCTTGTTGATGTTCCTGAGGCAAAGCTGTTTTCAATTGACCCCTCATTGATCATGTTTCTGCGTGGTGTGCCGGGAGAGTTCCAATGTGTACAAGGCTCTGTTTGCAAACATCTGATCTTGCGTAATTCTCCTTGAGGTCCCTGAGGAGTGCCCTGATCTTTCCACTCTTCTGCAGCATGCTGTCCAGAAACCGCTTGAGGGTTTGCTTGGTCTTGCAGGGGCAAAGAAAAAGAAAACGCCTATGACCTGCCAAACAAGTGCTTTCTACTTTTGGGCTGCGCCTCAAGCTCCTGCGTCTTGGGGGCCTGCGGCGGCTGCCCCGGTTCCGGGGCCTCTGCGGCGCTTGCCGCTTGCCTTGCCCTGCTCTGGCCCAGGTTCGCGAAAGCGTCCTCGTCCAGAGT